CTACCACAATGCAGTGCTCTCTGTGGCCGTTGCAAGAGCTGCTAATGTGGCCACGCCAGTGCGCTTGCAGCTGCCAGTGTGGACAGACTGCAGCGCTTTCCCTACTGCGCTCTCCGAAGGCTAGTTTAACTCAAAGCGCTCTACAGCTGCAAGTGTAGCCATGCCCTCAGTACAGAAGAACCAGGCAGCCAAATAGCTGCATGCAGAGCCTGGTGCCTGAACGAGGCAGAAATGGATTATGGGAAAGACTGTTGGGCACAGGAGCCACGCCCTGAAATGACTTGTGTATGAGTCTTTTGTCTCATGACGCCTGCCTTTGCCTCTCAGTTCAGCCAGCTTCCCGGACAATACCACTCTGAAAAGAAACGGAGGCAAACACGCATACGGTTACACAAGGTGCACACACTCAACGCAGCAGAGAGAACTGACTTGTCACTCGACGGCTGCATGCACCCGGGAGCTCGCAAGAATCAGAAACACGGGGCTGGGAACTCACCACTGCTGAACCTCCTTCTCTGTAACTGAAAGAGAAAAGAAGACAGACAAGGGTTAAGCCATTTGGAGTCTTTTCCTCTGAGTTTTTTCATTTTAAGCTGACTGGTTTCTATAGCACAGGGGACTTGATTGCAGTGCACAAGGACCTTCCTGGGGAGAAAATGCCTGTTGCTAAACGGCTCTTGAACCTACTGCAGAAAGTCCTCACAAGAACCAATGGCTGGATGTTAACGCCAGACTTCAAATTCAATAAGGCACAAATTTTTAGCAGTGAAGGTGATTAACCACTGGAAAAAACTACCGGGGAAGTGGGGGGATTCTCCATCTCTTGTCTTCAAATTAAGACTGGAGGCTCTTCTGGAAGATGCTTTAGCTGACCAGAAGGTACCGGGCTCGAACCCGGGGTAACTGGATGGAAGTCAGTGGCCTGTGATATACAGGATGTCAGACTAGATGATCAAACGGTCCCTTCCAGCCTTAAAATCTTTGAATCTATGAGTATTTTTGCTACCTTTAAGGAAGCTTATTACATCATGTCAGTTAGCAAAACTTTCTGGGCCAGATACTCAGCTGATGCAAACCAGCAGTTCCACTGGTTTACGTTGTGCAGCACCGATTTATGCCAGCTGAGGCTCCGGCCCTATCTCTCCCCCTCTTGCAGCGTAAGGTGAGGCTGATGTAGAGGAAGGCCACTAAACAATCAGGAATTTCTTTCCAATGCATCTTTTGCCATGACACGGTATGTTAAAAGTACCTGCTTCTTCTTCAACACATTAAACACATACACCCCCACAGACAGATAAATGGCCTCTCTCCCTGTTCAGCGCTACCCCATCTGCCAACATGCTGACTTTAAGAGCTGTCTGTTTGCGCCAGGTTCCTTCCTACCTGTTGTCTTAAATGCCGTTGTCACATTTCTTCCCTGCTGACTAGCTAAATCTTCAAAGAAAGTGCTCACTGATGGTTTCAAGATCTTTTGATGTCTTTGCTTGTCATACCTCTTTTTCTATTAATCTAAAGCTTCAGAACTGACTCCCTCTGGGTTTTTGATGAATAAGCTTCACGCAGCGCGTGTGAAGATTTCATTCCTTTTCTTGCTTTCCTCCCCCCAGTCCTATTTTTATTGCTTAATTGTTGTGCGGTCCTTTTTAGCTGTGCACAGCGTTCTGCAGTTCTCTCGCTGCAGGTAAATACACTTAAACGATACGGCTTCTCCCACAGCACAGGGGCGGAGAGGAAGGAGGGGCTTGTGGACAGAAGGGCTCTATTCCTGGCTCTTGTGTGACCCTAGACAAGTCCCTTAGCCAAGCTGTGCCTCTGCATTTGCCCATGTGAAACATGGAGTTAATACTTCCCTAACCAGACTGTTGCCTGGTCTTCACTGGGGGGGATCGATCTAAGATACGCAACTTCAGCTACGAGAATAGCGTAGCTGAAGTCAATAGCGTAGCTGAAGTCAATTAGATCGACTTAGAATCACTTACTTTGCATCCTCGCGGCGCGGGATCGACGGCTGCCGCTCCCCCGTCGACTCCGCTTCCGCCTCTCGCCGTGGTGGAGTTCTGGAGTCGACGGCAGAGCGACCAGGGATCGATTTATCGCGTCCGATAAATCGATTCCCGATAGATCGATCACTACCCGCCGATCCGGCGGGTAGTGTAGACGTACCCTGCGTGAGGGCTAACGCACTAATGCTTGTAAAGTGCTTTGAGCTCCTTGACTAAAGAACAACATTATTTTGTATTGCGGCAACACCCAGAGGCCCCAGTCAGGGATCAAGGGTCATCATGCCAGGCTCTGTATGCTCTCGGAACAAGACAACACCTGCCCTTGCTGCAATTTATATAAAACATTAATGGGGTTTTTAGCATCAACCTTCAAATTCCAATCGGAACGACTCCCAGGCCACATTTCCCAGGCGTGGGATAGCTCTGAGGACTGGAAGTGATGTACAGAGCTGTGATGATTTGGAGGATCGGTCTGTAAAAGTCATGAATGCTGGTTGACATTATGAAATTGTTACTATAAAAACTGCTGTCTGGCTGAATGCTTCTGCGTAAATGTGGAACCCACCAGGGGCTGGCAAGGTCTGCATCACATCTTCCCCAGACCGGGGACAATGGAGAGTTGTCAACCTTAATGACTGTACTCTCACCAAACAATAGCTATGCTAAGGAGGGTGCCTGAGTTGGGAATAGTTTTCTCTGTCTTTCCTCAACTAGGGCCCTGGGTTTGGAGAGTGGAAAGTCACCAAGCAGAAGACAAACACCAAGGTGTCAATGCCAGCCTTTAAAACCCAAAGAGACTAGGTGGGTCGGGGGAAGACTCACAAAGACACACAGGAATTTCAGGCAGGAGAGGGGAAAGGACGGCTTGGCCCAGGTCAGCGGAGACAAGAAGATTCCATGTCTCAGAACCCAAGCCATGGAACAGAAAGACCTGGATGGATGACCCTCTCCCCTATCCAAAGAAGGCACTGGAGGGGTGAGGAAATTGAGGCAGAGAAATAGGTGTCGGGTTGATTATTTGTGTACAGATCTGTGTGTTTCTCGTGCTATTAAAGACAGAGCAGTGCTGGGTTTTAGCCCTGTGCAAAGTCTGTATGTGGTAAACTGTAACCAAACAGGCTCACACCTCTGGCTGGAGTTCAGGGACAGGGTGGGTTTAAGCTACGGGGGAACCTGAGGACCCGGGGCCTGGGCAGTGGCCACATGGGCTATGGTCTCGAGTGGGGGTGGCGCCCAGGCATTGTGCCTATTCTGACTCCGGAGACTTACAGCACGCAGGATCCAGCACCTGGATTCCCTGGCAACAGTCTGGGGAGTGGTCAAGAAGGCCTGGTCGAGCCCCTCTCCATGACAAGAACTTTCCCTTGTCGCCAGTTCAAGCCCGGCTGACGTCAGAACCTCTGCGTGGCTATTCAGTGCCTTAATGAGTTAACGGTCGCGCTCAGCCAGCATCCTTGCCAGCAATGAATGAAAGAGACTGAAAGGCTGAACTACCTAGTCAGTCCTAGCCCTGAGACACAATGGCAAAGCTGCGTGAGGGACGTTTATGCTGCTGCTGTCTATGCTGTACCTGTTCGGCGGATAAATAGGGCATCTCTCTGCAACATGAAACGTTACACACGCTAAATTCAATCCAATGGGGGGCCTATTTACATCCCCAGTACCTCACGCTAGCACAGAGATTTCCTGCAAAGCAGCTGCAGGAAAACTTTATTATTAACACATCCTGGGCATGCGTAACTTAATGATATTGACAAAGTTCTGCTTATTTCCTGTAGATTTGCTAAATATGGCCATTTAAACACAGAAACCTGGAGAGAAAATTAAGTTTAACTGATATTAACTCTTAAAAAAAACAACACCCAGGGTTTGGCCACTTGAGAAAACTAACAGGAAGAAAAAAATATATTATTCAATTTCCCCCTAAACAAGACAGCCAGAAAGTGGAAGTTCACCAAAAGGGTGATTCTCAGGCACACAGACCCCCCACCAGCTCAGGCTTTACATAGACACATGAAGTTTTGACTGCAGGTGCAGCTGTATTGCTCGCCCTGAGGGCTCAAGAGTCCTGAGACCAGCTCCACAGAAATCATGAGATTGGCTAGAAACATTTTTTTAAGTGGAAGCTGAGACTCACAATCACGTGACTCCAGGAGCTGGGGGTTTAAGAAAAACACCCAGTAACATTAGAAATAAAGTGGCGAGAGTTGGCATCATAGATAGAGTAGGATCTAAGCTGTTTGGAGCTATTATTGATGGCCCGGGAGACAGCTCTCTAAATCTCAGAGGTGCCCATAGGTTTCTATCCCAAACCTGGAAAACACAATCATGCATACCAAGGTCTGTTTAGCAGGATTAAGCTGCATTTCACCTTTTGATATTCTCTCTTCTTTCACCATCTCCTATCTCCTGCAAGAATCCATTAAACCAGTGGTTCTCAACCAGGGGCCCGGGAGGGGCGGGGGGGGGAGAGCTGTGAACAGGTTTCAGGGGGTCTGCCAAGCAGGGCCAGTGTTAGACTTGCTGGGGCCCAGGGCAGAAAGCCGAAGCCCCTCCACATGGGGCTGAAGTCCAGGCCCCTGATCCCCGCCGTCCGAGGCTGAAGCTGAACTTAGCTTCGCGGGGGGCACCCGTCAATTGCCCTGTTTGCTACCTCCTAATGCCGGCTCTGGTTTTAAACCAGTTGTTGTGGCACAGGTGGGCCGCGGAGATTTATAGCATGTTGGGGGGGCCTCGGAAAGAAAAAGGTTGAGAACCCCTGCGTTAAACGGAATACGCAGATACAAGGCATCTAGGCCCAGGATCATCAGGCCAGAGCCATGACAGTGCACTCTGAGCTCTCCCCGCAGCTCCTCTCAGGAGCGGAGAGGATCCAACACGTGTGATTCTGCATTTTGCCAAGGAGAAGAAGGAACGTTTCCCTGCGTACTTAGCCTGGGACAATATTCTTTGGTTTTCTCGTAACAGATCTAGAGTTACATAAATTCGTGTCTTTAGGGGAAGGACCCAGTTACTCAGGTAAGCAACGTCATGTTCCAGGTGGCTGAGGCACATTACTGGTGCCAGGACCTGTTTGCACGCTCACCCTCTCTTCTGCTGGTGATGCAGGGAGCCAAGGGATTGTGGCTAGTCCAAGGCACCAGCAGGGAGCCTGGTGCCAGGAGGCTGGCTGAAGAGGGAATAGCCTTGTTCATCATTGCCTCCACATCTCCCCTCTACATACTAATAACAACAACAACAAAAGCACTAGGTCTGAAACTGACTAGGATAATGAGGCAGAGTGGCTACATGTGGATATGTGAGCAGCTGATAAAAATAGAAACTCCAAGATGCATGAACAGATGCCAATTACCTTGAATGGCGAGACACCCAATAAAAGAAAGCAATTTTCCATCAGAAAGATTTATAATGTGCTTGGCAAGAAGCACAGGCTGGAGAAGGTAAGGGCTGGCATAAACACAACATCGGGGCGATGGAGACAGCACATACAAGACATGGCTCCAGCCAGATGCTGTTGG